CAGCGGGTGGTGGCGAGAGTTGCTCTCCGTGCACAGCGCGTGCCTCGAGCGCACAACTTAGTCGTGGGAAATTGTAGCATTAGGTCTATCTGGTGAGTAGGTTAACTTGCTTGGACCGCACTCATTGAGAGCGACATGGAAAACTAAGGCAACTCTCGGATACGGCTTCGTAATTTCACAGCCTTTGATTTAAAGTGTGAAACTATGAATAATTTATCATGCGCGTGACAATCGCATCATTTTTGCGTGACGTTATTTATTAATATATCCACGCCGTTTGACCAATAAGTGCTTTGCATTGCTATTTTTTAAAATATATTTTAATGTATTATATTCTATTTTTATACACACAATATTTCGATACATTTGTGTGAAACATTTATTTATTTATGTTTCACAGGAGCCCCGAGACTGGACTCGTACAGTACTCTGTAAAATTGTTCACTATGCAATCTGGAAAATAAAATCAAACTCAATGACGAGGAGTATTTTTCCAGACACACATTAAAAATTAATCCTGTTTTCCACGCAATGTACACAGCCATCACTCAATTAATGATTCACGACGACCAGGTTTTAGTGGCGATTATTCCACAGCATACAATGTACCAATGTTCTTGATTCTTTCGGTAAAGTCACGTTGAAGGGAAACAATAAAATATATATAAAACAATAAAATTCTCACGACATTTCGACTGTAACACAAACAGTCATCATCAGGTGTGAAAAAAACAACGGCAAGAAGCATTTGAAAGAAATATAAACCGCTACTTCTTTCAAATGTTTCTTGCCGTTGGTTTTCACACCTGATGATGACTGTTTGTGTTACAGTCGAAACGTATAGTGAGAATTGTTTTATATATTTTATTATTGTATTGTTTCCCTTCAACGTGACTTTACCGAAAGAACCAAGAATATGAATCACTGCAGTCACAAAAGCTTTAAATCAAAATGTACCAATGGTTTACCGTTATTTTATTTTCGCTTGTTTTTGCAAATAAAATTAAACACTTTCCATCCTGTTTACGACGTCTTTTTTGTTTTATCATAAATGTTCAAATTTCGTGTTCATAACGTGAGTGTGTTTTGAGAGTACCGCATTGCATACTGTTTAATAAATAGGCAAACAGAGGGTGGCATACAAATATATATCTTTGGCCACGTTAGACTGTTAGCAATTACTCGTCTAATGTTTGCCCATATTACTTATTGAAGGGACTAATTTGTTTAACTATTACCTTATTCTCCTCATTATAAGATGCTCCAAAAAGTAAGATGCACCCAAAACTTGTGCCCTGTGCTCATAAAGTTATACTAATCTGATCGCACACACACGTACTGGATCACTTGACTTATTTCTTTACTCAATTACAGTATCTAGGAAAGCCACATCGAGTCGAAGGACAAATGTATTAAGAGGGTCCTGCAATGGGTATTCATTAAAAAAACAAATTCAGTCAATTAATAATGAGCGTGTTTACACACGTGGGCGGAAGCCGGAGTACCCGGAGAAAACCCACTCACGCAAGGGAGCAGCACTCTATCCCCGTACAGGTGGATATAGATGGTGATTAGTCCGCTTGCTGTGTTGCCTTCTCCTGGATTATAAGAGGAACCCCCGGTGTTTGCTTTGAAATATAGGGGGCAAGTGTGTCTCATAATCTGGAAAATACGACATATACTGGACTCCGAAGAAACTGCAATGGACCATTAGACCACCCATGATCACAAGCAGCCATGTAGTAAACATGAAATACTTGCCGTGCATTAGTTGAGGTACATTAACAATCTGATGGATTTAAAAATGTAAACTCCATCGAACTGTAGCAGGGGTGAATGTTCCCTTGAATGTCTGCAAATGCTCATTCTACACTAGTTTGTGGTGTGTGTTTCAGTTCAATTTTTTCCAGCTCTCTATAAATTCGTTGCTGGATGACTTTTAAAAATATAATCTTGACGAAGAGTACCGCAATTTTATGACGAGTCAATTAACCTTCATTCATGGGAATGGAACGCGTCCGAGAGGACGTCCACCGTAGAGATTGAATGATTAAATCGGCGCATGTGCCAGGTGCCAGGTGGATTCATGCATCGCACGAGTTTGAGAGGTGGTGGTGTCTTGGGGAGGCCTTCATTTGGCAGTGGATGGGCCATGGCTGGTGACGATGATAGTGAATCTTTAATCTGGATAGGTTTGGCGATTTAGGAATAAGTTGCTTGAAGATTATTCGGGTAGAGCAGTGGCACAGTGGTTATCATGCTGCACTATGAACCTGGCGACCGAAGTTAGATTCCTCAGCATTGCTTATATCAGTAGCGCAGATTGTTTTAACCGGTTCTGCCTTTCTCCACCTCACTCACCACCTCACCAACCCACACTAACAAGTGTGGTGAAGTATCCGCACATAATCTGCACGACCGACACAGCTTAGGGAGACCTTCATCCAATAGTTCATTGACCAAGGGCTGTATATATTTATTTTATTGAAATAGGCAATTCCTCTGCACTTCACAGTTGTTTAAATATTTTCCAAATTGCTATTACTTTTTTTTTTCTTCAGCTGACCTTATCTACATGGAAGATCAAGTCCAACAGCACAGGCTGGGGGGAAAAAGTTATAAAGGCACTAAACTGGTCTGAGGCTGTGTAACGTTTAAACTCGGTAGTGTGTGAGCAGAGATATGAATTTAATACTCGGAGGCTGGCCCAGATTTCAGTTCCACTTTTGGTCGGCTCTAATCCAGGATTGGTTTCCTAAATCCCATGCAAGGCGTGATGGTTAAGCATCTGTGTGAATACGGAGGGGTACAGTCCATACTTTTTGTAAGATGCTGCGGTGGGGTAATGGTTCGTGCACTGGACCTGTAATCCAGAGGTTTGCCGCTACGATCGCCCCCACGCAGCAAACGGAACTATGGCTCAAGTCTCTTAAATTCCCCAGCCTCTATCCACCCAGCAGTATAAACTGGTACACCGCAGTTCGTCGATCAGCAGTTGATGCGGGGTGGGGAAAAGTGTGGGTGGGTACCCCCACCTCTTCAAAGGGGAGCGGTAGTGTAGCGGTTAACACGCTGCGCTACGAACCCGGCGACCCGAGTTCGATTCCTGCTCACGGCCAACGCCAGTGAAGATTATCTGAATCGGTTCTGGGCCTCCCCTAGATCCACTCAGCTTCACATGAGTACCTGGTGCGGTGTGTAAACATCGCTACTGAGGAGACAAAGGCGGTCGGGCGTGGTACTGGCAACCCACCCCCTCGTGTACCGTGCCGGCCTTCATAAGTGCTTGGTAACAGCACTTGCCCCAACAGTCTGCTAAGGCTATCTGGGGATCTTTGTCTGCGTCTTCCAAGACCTCTCGGCAGTGTGGAAGATTAGGCCAAAATACCATCTGGTCGAAGTTAGTTGTAATTACTGGCGAAACGTCGTACTCAGTTTGTAAATTGTTGTGGCTTGGCTCACCAACACACCGGTGTGCTGTACTAGTGACGAATTGGCCACGTTCTGTTTACGTGACAACCCTTACTAGTTGGCTGTGTCGTGTGGTGGCGGGTTTTAACGACACATTTATATATTTACGCGATCTAACCCCAAAACCTCTATTATGGAGGTTATTTAGCGTTTGCTCTCATGGAGACCCTTCTGCCAACACTGCTGGTGAGCACGTCATTGCAGGGCTGCTCCCCTTCACTTCTCGCGGTCCTTTTTTTATTTGAGAGGGGAAAAAACCCCTTCTGGAGGATCACGGAAGGCCGAGCTTCTCTCTGGAATCAAGACCAAGTTTGCGGTTACTAGGGAGGAAGTTTATTTTTTTATTTTTCCCAGAGCCGTCTGCAGGCAGCTACAAAAAAAAAAATCCGAGTATCCCACTGGAGGGAAATCAATGCAAACCAGATGGGCTCCCGGGTGGGTTTACGAAACAACAAAACCTTTCTACTGAGCAGGAATACAGCAGACTCGGATTAAAAGCTGCCAGGAGTTCGTGAAGCACAAAGAGGTGCAGCGTGACACGTATGTATATATATATGAGGTTGTTTGTGAGTCCATGTGTGGCCCCTTTGTCCAAAATTGTTTAAACATTAATCTCAAGGAAAAGAGAAACAGGCATATGCTTTTACACACGTGTGTTTTAAGGCAAAAGAAAAATGTTGTCTTCAGTTGGTAAAATTCTAGCTTAGGGCGGTTGTTCCACTGAAACGTTACATTTGCTTAACAACAGTCGCATCATATTTTGGTGAAATTTGCTCGAAGAACTCAAGCTGTTTTTTGGACCGAGATAATAAAACCCACTTATATTACCATTCTATAAACATATTACAACCCCCCATTGCCAAGGTCATCATTAACATTGAGTACACAAAATGTGCAATAATATCCTTACACCAGGCTAGCGTCATTACACTTGCCATCTCGTTCTTGCAGTGTTTTCATAATTATTCGTATACAGACCTATACACACATTTGTCTTCCGTGCTACAAGATAAAGATTCAGCCCTGCAATGTCCTGCTTATTGCATCTCTCTGCTCACAGAGGAGTGCCCACTCGAGACAGCTCTAGAGAGCCCCCAGACCTCTTGGTGGTAGTACCCACACTTTGCCCAAGCACATGTGACCACCGGCCAATCGACTGGCGTGCCCTTTATACTGATGGGTGCACAGAGTCATATGGGGGGGGGGGGGTATTTAAGAAACTTGCCCCATTGTTTTAACTATCGGGCCGGGAGATCGATCCAGCGACCTCTGAATAACAAGTCCAGACTTCTAACCATGACATGGCAGCGTACCGCCCCCTCTTCTAAACGGTTAAAAATAGGCAAAGCTTGTTTTTGTAATCTTTACACCGTGACTTTTGAGCTTGTTACAAATTTCACGACAGATGTTTGACGAAAACCATCAACGTCTTCGAACATAGCCGGAGCTGCGGCGTGCGGAGAGCTGCTTTAGTATCGGAAGGGGTGGTGGGGGATTGAGGGATTGGGGGAACCACGTATTTATTGTACCTTGTAGACGTCCCCTAAGCCGCACCACAGTCCGAGCAGGTCGCTGCAGTTGTCCTGTCGTCGCGAGACGTAGGCCTGCAGAATCCTGCCCGCCTCCTTGTGCGAAGCGTCCCCCCTTCCGTTCAGGGCTTTAACGGTGTGGCCGAGACCGCGTGCGTCCCGAGCCATGCCTGCCTGCCTGCCCTCCGCTGAGCTCCTCTCACTCTCTCAACTCTCTCTGGGTCGTCTGGAAGCCGAACCCGAGTCTCCGCTGTGATCCGGAGCTTTAATTGGCTTACCTCCTCGTGCACGAACGCACGCATCCACCACGCCGCTTTGGGCCCTCCTTTTACTCGCCCCGCCCGAGTTAAAATGCAGACTGGGATCTGGAGACGACTGGGTATCGTTCCAAGCGTAATATTAGCAGCCGGAGGGGCATTTTGTGGCCGCTTATTTATTTATTTAACAATAAGGATTAAATTAAATCTCCTGCCCTTAACTATGCGCCACTATATTGCGCGAAGTGATGAAAACTCAAAATGTCACGTCCTTGGTGAAACAAAAAAAGGGTTTTCTTCAAACAAAGCAAGTTTTTTTTTCCCCCGTTATATATAAACAACATTTTCCTCCATTACATAAACATCTCAAGACTAACTCAAACAAGTAAAGCTCCGTCACTTTAAACTATCACGCTTCTCAAAATGACACAAACTTAGTTAGGTGCTCAGCACTTAACAAGCACAATTGAATCGTATTATTTTCTCCCCGGTACTTTTACACACACATTTGAAGCGCCGGTGTCTCACGAATCACTCACTATTAATCCTGCATTATGTAAAAAAAAAATGTCAATGAGCTCGCTATGAGCCGTCGCAAGTAAAACAACAAGGCCGCATCAAACTAAAGATTCCCAGCATCGGACGGCAAGCCGCTCATGCTGAAATAACCCAAAGCAAAACAAACTGCTTCTATTTAAACTCCCAAACTTAGCGAGGGCAGAGCCTGCCCTCTCTCTCACATGAGATGACGCACAACAGGGTTTTTTTTCCCTCTCGCCCATCAATTTGCCAAACGCATCATGCTCCATGACCATTCGTGCCTAAGTATTTCCTGTTTTCTCCAAATATGTGGTGGGGGTTTTTTTTGTTCAGTTCAACTTGAGCAATTCTTTTGACAAACAAATGAGCAAATGTTGGCATTTTGAAAAGTCACGACTGCCCGGTGACTGCGCTGAGACGACGAGAAGAGAGGTGCAAATCTGTAAGCTATTGTGTGGGGGCAGTGCCCGATGCCAGCTGCGATTTCCTCCAAAATCCAGGAAGGAAAAGCGCGCCGCGTTTATTCCGTCTCGCCGCACAGCGCGGCCCCGCATGCCCGTGACGGCACACGTGGCATTATTCAGACATCATGCAATTCAGACATTTCATATGCTTGACGTCCATTGAGCGGAGAAATAATCTACATGCAAGTGTACATAGCTGCGTGTCTGTCTTTATCCTCACAGTATAAATATACAGCCATCCCTTTGTCTTTATCCTCAGAGTATATATAACTATTCTTATTTATCATCAGGATATTTAACTATCTTTGTCTCTTGATCCTCACTATTGTATTTAGTAACTATCCTTGTGTCCTTAGTCTTATTCTCATGCCACTGAATTGTGTTTTCCACCCTCCTGATCCCTAAACTTTGTTCCTTGCGATCAAAATAAAATGATATTTCTCCTCTTCCCCAAGACCTCATAATGGGCAGACCTCCCTGCGTATACATCCTTTAGAAGCAGTTGTTACGTGGAGTATTTGTTTGTATAGTTGATGGGAAAAGCAGATGAACGTAAGGACAGAAGCCGTCGTCCATACTGTAAAATACCTTTTTTATACGCTCACGGGATTATTTTATGACTATGAAATTACTTCAGGGACGGTGCAGAGGGGATTATTTTATGTTCATTTTGCCTCCAACAAATTCCTGGCAACAGTAAAGTATTTTTTTTTTAAAACAAGAAAAAAATATTGAACCCAACGAGATTCGAAACAAATCTCAAAAATGTGCCATGGATAACTTGAAAATGATGTTAAGCCTAATTGCATACATAAATTCAGATTATTTGTACATGTCCATCTTAGGTCTCTTTCTGTCTCCGAATATAATTTCAGAAATAGACAGAAACACATGAATGAGACTTCATATGCAGCCTAATGACATAACGCGGTCTGTTGACAAAAGTAAATGGGCTTGAGCAGGACATTGCCACGAGATGGGATGATGGCCAATGGTCAAGAATAGTGATGAAGTAGCAGTCAAGACATGGAACGCATCCGTTGGTGCGTCCACCGAGGAGATGGAGTGTGGACTATAACATTGTAGGATTGAGAGAGATGGGGGCTTGGGGAGGCCTTCATCCAACAGTGGATTGACCATGGCTGATGCTATTTGTACACTGCTGTATATGTATATAAAGCTTCAAGCCAAACACATCTTGATTTTAGATCCTATCTGCAGAAAATATATATGTATATATTCCCAAAGCCTACCACAACAGAACGGTTCAAATAGCATCCTGGAATTCGTGAATTATCCGTGGCGATATTTTAAAAATTCAATAACGACGCCAGTCAGTGGTGGCTGTGCACATTAATAAATATAGTAATCCCATTATCATTTGAACGTTTTTTTTTTAATACGTTGTCACAAAATTAGCTACCATATTAAGATAAACGTGCTGCCACCTTCATAATTATTAAGAAAGTGTTAAAACATAGAATTTAAAAAATCCGAATAATTAAATTCCAGTCATGCTCAATTCACCAATGCATTAAAGCATCCCCATGCCATGTCAGTCATGGTTTTATTTGTTGGCCATACTTCACCACGCTGGTCAGTAGGGGTTGAAGGTGAGGAATTGCAGGACCGGTTCTGATACCACTTTACAATTATGTTGTTGGCAAGGGCTGGGAATCCAACTCGGGTAGCCGAGTTCATAGTGCAGTGTATGTACCGCCACTCCAAAATATAAAATAGGGCTAATACTGTGGAGAAATTGCTGCCATTTGCCTCATGGTAGCATTTAGATTCATTTGAAATATAAAGCGTATTATTGAAGGTGTCTATTTGTCTAGAAGCGGACTTTTTTTTGGTACAAAAGCATGTGTCTGGAGGAAAAAAGGCACTTAGCAAGTGTATGATGGAGCTACGTCAAAGCCTTACGGTTTTATCTGTTTCCAAGCAACGGGAGATGGCTTATAATGTTCACTGCCTTGAGAAAGCAAACCACCACTCTTCAGTTCTCAAGCTTCATTATAATCCCACCCACGTGCCTTGCAATCCAATCATCTGATCAAGTTTCTCGCAGGTTCGCAGAAATAGGAATTTTGTGTCCTCAATCAGGCTTTTGAATAGTATTTACTACCTCTACATGGCTGTACTACACACTATGCAAAGCTTTCTGCAACAGATTGTGCACGATGAGTTTTTTCAATGCTTTTAAAAATAACCCATTACAAATTCGTTCATTATATATGTCAATTTATGACACGCATTACATATATATTCCCTTCGAAGATTGTCCTCCAAACTGAGGCTTAATTGGCAGTTATCCCAGCAGTGAATTCTTAAGAGACGCGTGTGGACGGTGTAAATTGGTACGGTGCATGGAAAAATCAAACGAGCATCTTCAATCCCGCTGTCAACAATGGCTTTGTGGCAGCAAAATCACATATTTCTCCCATACCCCGCACCCACATGGAAACTGGACGAAGATACACAAACACATACCATTCTGCTCGTATCACAGCGAAACTCCACTGGCAAAGGACCGGCCGAGGTTGTGTTTTAACCAGACGGAGAAATGGACTTGGAAGTGGCTTCTTCTCAAGCGCTCACAAAACCACCGGTCTGATTTATCAAGTCACGCAAAAGCTGGTGCGCCCATAGCCATCGGGTGCTCTGTGCTCTTGCATTGTCCTGGGTCGATTGATGGCACTCAGAGGGTGCATGAAGTGATTCTTAAATGAGTGTTTGGTGCGTCCTGATCAACGTGTAATTGAATTTAAAAAAATCTCCCCTTGGCTCCGGATTACGTGAACCAAGGGGTAAATGAGTAAACATTTGCTTGGGTAAATTATTTTTGTCAAGCTCACAAACCAGGGCCAAATTTAAGCTGCGATTGTGAACGTGTCAAATAACCACGTTCTTGGTTCGTGGATTTATTGTGCATCTTTTTAGGAAATTAAAATAACAAATATAACACACATAAAAGGTTTAGAATGGGAAGGTTACTGTATTGTAGCCATTCCAGGACAGAGATAGGGCAGTGGAATGTGCAAAGCCCCTACTTAGCCACTAAGCCAAGCTTCCTAGTACGTGAGCTTCAATGATATACAAATAATGATATATCAGTCTACGAGTCACATATAAGTCTATGTGTCACAAGCTAGTCTATCAGATTAATTCCATTAAACAGTGCACTGTAAGTAAGTATGTTAGTGAAATATAAGTATATAGGCCCTTTTGAAAGTTGATGGGCTCCATGTCAGTCTCACCATCATTATTGATCGGCCACTGCTAGATGAAGGCCTCCCTGCACTGCGACCTCTCACAATCCTGCGATTCAAAAATACGTCCAGCACTTGCACTGATACCATCGTGCCATCTACTCTATTGGAAGCCCTGTCGGATGCGTTCCATTCCATGGCTGCCATCCCATTAATATTCTTGACCATCGTTCATCGTTCGTTCTTAGCCGCATGTCCGGTCCAAGCCAAATTTAGTTTTCTTCTCATTAATCTACGGTGCGTTCTGCTCATCCGTGCGTTGCTGTTTATTTCTCTCAATATAATTCGCTTGCATGAATGTCTCCGTCTTTTTTCGCGCACTTTGCACATTTAAATAAACAAAAAAAATCAACGTGTCACAGCAGGTAGTACGTACTAATTAAACACATTCTTCCTTCGGCTCATTCGTAAATTGCTTTTCAATATTAAGTTCGACTTTCCTAAACCAATTGAACCTGCTTTTGCCTGCCAGTCCACCTTCTATAGCTGTTCTGCGTCCACATATTCTGCTGTGTTTCCAGTTGTGTCTTTGCAACCCAATTGTATTGAACAATAATGAACAGGAGAAATACATTCTCTTGATTTTCAAAGTCGTGTTGATTTTTACACATTTATGAAAAGCTTTTATGTGTTCGTGTATATATATATTTTACCAAATGTCGACTGTACTTCCTCATGCACGCCCAGTTTAGGAAAAAAAGCATTCTTGAAGTTTGGCTGGGCCCGAGATTAACATAAATATGTAGAAAGTACAACAAATAATTGCATTCAGGTAGATTTTCGCAGGTAATTACAAACGTTCAGCACAATATCAGCATTAAAATATATTATTATATAACTGGAATCTAACTACTGATTATTTTTTTGTACTGTATTTGTCACCGCATGGATGAAAAGCATTTTATTTCATGCATTTCTTCTTTCTCGACAGATTTACATTTGGCTTGGCTTAGCCTCTGGGTGTATTTAGATAAGTCCAATATCATTAAAAAAAATCCTAACAGCTTGCTTCAATTAATTCAAAACCCTGCAGAATACCCTTATGGTAGTTTGTAAGGGCTGCATATAAAAAAAAACATGTTTGCCTAACTGCCTCGTAGTCTGACAATAATTAGAAGGGAGTTTAAGTACCCTTTATGTTAAAAACAACAGATGCAGAGAGGGTCTCGCTAATATCAGCAATGCCAAGGCGAAGAATCCAGTATCCCACTTGCCATACTGATCATTCTGCCTGCCGGACCAAAGCCAGAAAATGCACATGGGCAGAGGTTACATTTGTTAATTTAGCTGGCGGTGTCTCAACAAACAGGTAAGCATGAACTACATACACTTTCACCGCCCTTGTCAGAGTTATTATGAACAAGATGGATTTTAGTCAAGTTACTATTGCAAAGACTGTTGATGATAACGAAGAGCAAAATGTGCCGTGTTTTTTTTCTTTATGGAGTCTAACGAATGCAATGTTTTATTTAAATTTGCATTTAATAGCTAGGGTAAATAATGTGCTCTGCAAATAGGAATTGTAATCCCGATGATTACAGTGACACATACCACGTTTTATTCATTACCCTCTTTGATTTGTTGGTGAAAATGGCCTCACCTTCATATTCACTCGAGCGTAATCAAATTATTTTAGTAAAACAATGATGCGCAAAAATGTACCTCGTCACCAACGGCTTCTATGCAATGGCTATGTGATTTAAGCACAGCTGCCAACCAGTACTGCTATTCTTATTTGGTAATGTTTATTAATGTGACTAGTGAAGAGTAAAGAGCTCAGGTTTAACCGGGTTATTTCTGTTCCATCTGTAAAGCTATTTATACCAAGGTTTTCTTATAGTTTATCGAGTCATTCAACAACTCAACACTTCCATATTTTAGTCATAATGGCATACACGTATCCTGATCCACCCTTACCCAGAATAATAGACGGTCTACTTTTAAGTGGGAAGATCTCAATGCTCGTACAGGATACACATTTCCGTACATATTTTTTCGTATTATGTAACCCTTATACATGTTATTTCATGTTCACACCCACACTTTTTTCAATTTGATTGACTTTTTAGATTCATTAGTTGCAAATCACTCTTATACAATTAGCCAAATACTGCAGAGCAAATATGTTCTCTTCCGATAATATATTTATTCATTCTTGCTTATGTTTTATTATTTAAATTCCTCGAGTGTATTGATCGATTGCAATTGTTAAATGAGTGTTGTGTAAAAATGTTTGTCCAGTGTTCAAAGCAAGGCTTTGTTTTTCCTACAATCATTTTTACCCATTTGTCCTATCAGTGTGAGACGAAGAATCCGTTCAGAAATCTCATAAAAATGTGGCCCGTGTCTCAGCGAACAGCCCATGGAAGAAATAAGAAATTGCAGGACCAATTTCGAAAACATATTAAAGTGGCCCTTTTGTCATTTACACAGTCGTGCGCACACTTTTCCACAAGTTCTGCTATTACAGTCTAAAAAATATATGAATTCTCTAAACTAGAATTCATACAATGGAATGGAAATGAAAAGTATATATGTTTTATGCAGTCATTGGTGACACCAACAACTCACTACAATTAAGAGTATGGCTATAATCATGGGCACCTACATGGATTTAAACCCAAGTTATGAGCAACTCTGATAATATAATGCGAGCCACCTCGATTATCTCAGTCTTAACTGTGTCCTATACTCACTTATGTGACTCATATCACGCAGTTAACCTACATCAATGACCTCACGTTACAGCTGTGCACGTTTCGCTGCAATAAAAACTGAACATTTAGCAATTCCATATAGTACGGTGATCAGTTCAACAATCTTAACGCAACTGCTATTAAATTCCATAAAACCTCGGAGCAAAGAAAGACGATCTCCATAAATTACTGCATAACTTAAACGGCCCCCGTCATTGCATATCCCTATAGAATCAAGATTTATTTTGCAAATATTCCTTGTGAATAAATGAAATATCTCTTAATGTTAGCCTTATGGCTATAGACGAACAACATTCGTCAAAGGTTTGCCTCTTCTATTTAATATGATCATTGTGTTCAAAGGCTCGTTTTCTGTTCCTACATGCCTCCGTATTGCAATCTCGAAAAAAATATTCCCAAAGGTCTTAGGACACTGAGCTATAATACTCGCCTCATATATATGTGTTTCCTGCTAAGGCAGAATTAATCATGATTGTGTTGGGCTTTTGCTTTTATTTGCTATCTGTCCTGGAACGCCACTTCCAATGCAGAAGCATCACCAAATGAGTTGTATAAAAAACCTGCAGCTGGACACTTTTATTTCGTTTCTACAACAGTCATTGTGCATAATAAATCAATTAAGTTTTTTTTTTCTGTAGAGTATGAAAACAATACAATGCAAATTATGCAACTTGTTATTCTCAAACAAAATCATGTCCTGTAACTTTAAAGTCTAAATTGTATTCTTAATTTGCAATTTTGCATTTGTGCTACTTTGCCAGTAGATGTGATTACTGCTGCACATTTTCACGAATAAACAGACTAGGGGAAATGGTTTGATAAGTACTTCATAATAAACCATTAAACATGAAATGCTTGTGCAGCATATGTGAAGAATGTACTAGAAGGCTTTTTATAGAAATAAATCCCAAGTGACTTCATTAAATTTCTAGTACTCCCAGTGAGTTAAGGATGGCACCATCGTAAAACGGACTATGTACATGCTGATTCTGCCATTCAGCGTGCTTACTAGACACACCGTGAACACACTACACTCATCCTGATCGCCGCATCAGCGTTTTCAGGCTAACAAATAACTACAAATTATCTGAAGATTTCACCTTCAATACTTGTTCAACCATTCTTAAAGAGGATTTATTTATTTATTAAATCCATCGTGGTGTTTTTCTGCCCTTACTTATTAGTTGTGTCTCTTGCATATTGCAATTATATATTGAGATATATATATGCATTGCCCCACCCCAATTTTATCCCAATCTGTGCTATCGGCATCATGTTACGAATCAAGAACGGTTCAACGAAGCAGATACGACTAAGATCCCTTCAAGTGATCTCTGGTCCACAGAGTCGTGGGCAGCTTTTCCCACCCACTCTGCATATGAGAGTAATGTTTGTCACTTAACAGTCAGATTATATATTTTTTGCTGGGTCATTGGTGACTGTGTTGAGACCATCAGCTTATTACACTTGAGAACCCAGTTTAATCACAGGCAGCTGCCTGGATTCAAACCCAGCAGGATCTGTGGTGTCAACTCAGCACTCTGACATTTGACCAACTCAGCTACCTCTGTATATTTATTTTTAATGTTTGAAGAGCACCTTCCCGCGAGATGCTGAGATCTGCAGAAATAAGTTGCGATAAATCTATGCATGATGTTAACAAATTGTCAACTTTTGGCAACCGAGTAACCAACGTCTTTACATTTTGAATGACTTTTTGATAATATTGTAACTATACTGTATTATCACGAGAGCCAAAGAGACGTTTCAATGAAATACAGTCGTTAACATAAATTTAACAATTTAAAAAAAATCCATATCTCACAAGTGACCGACCTACTTTATATAAATAAATAAACAGATATATTGCACGAAAACAATATATCAAAATACGTTTTGCTTTGTACAGGTTCGCAGTGTGGAGGCTTTTAACTCTCCCCGTTAACAATTGTTCCGTCTGTTGTTTGGTTTACATCATACGCGTGCGCCATATGTCCATTCGCATGCAGTCTCTTGTGGTTATGGGTGGATGACAACCTTAGCGGGGGGACTGAAGGTTCGCAGACAGCCTGTCTGGGAACAAACAAAGGACCGGGAGGTCACATGTTAGGCATCCTACTGTGAATTGAAACGTGGCTCCCAGGCACTACGGAGCGCACGTAAACAGCTCTGAAAGCTTCTGTGGCTGGCAAAGCAACAGCGTGTTGATGCGTGTGAGCTTGAAGATAGGCATTTGTTTGCATGATCAGAATTACACCGAGAGACGGAGAGAGGAACACATGGATTGGGGGAATAAACGCACGTTGAAAACATCTCGATTGATTGCTAAGGAAAAGGAGGCAAATGCACATGCGAGCGACACAGAGATGGAGTGATGAGGTCAGCTCATGGGCAGGAGCCGGACGGATTGTGAGGAATGGCAAGATTGCATGGAGACCTTCATCCAGCGGTGGACAGACCATGGCATATGATGATGATGATGATGATGATTCTGGTGAAAGGACTATGAGTCGCTGCTTAGATGGCCATGCTGGCTCCATTTGTTCTGCTCACACATCCACAGCAGTGGCCTCAAACATTTCGATAATGTAGTTCCCCCCAACCTGTATCGCATTGGGACATCATCAGTAGGGACAACACATGGACTTTGGCAAACCGTGATGCTATATTGTAAATGCAGGAGAGAGAAAAACACATTGCATGCTTTTTTTGGCATGTTTAAATTATGACATTGAGAAGCACACTGCTAAGAAACAGGTGTAGACATCATGCACAACTTTAGAGCTGCAATACCGAAGGGAACAGCCGTGGAGGAGGGAAAGGAGAGAGTGCCTGTTGGAAAGGGGTGTTGGGCACTCGCATCAATATTTTGATGAAAAGTGGGCTCAAGTCAAAGCAGGTTAAAATGACATCTATATATATACAGCAAGTGCTGCAGCCTTAGTCTAGCAGCGGCACATCGGTTAGGGTTGGACGGCAAGGTTGCACAGCGCCTGAGAGTTTAAGTTTATTTAGATTTGCTCCACGGATGATGGTCCAATTTAGACCGATGCCCGGCTATTTCACACAGGAGCACAGCGGCAGCAACAAAAACAAAATCGCCAAGAGTCGCGGGTCCTCGAGGAATATTGTAGAACTACTCAACGAGGTATTTCACGGTCCATGAACGAAACACACACGAGCATCAGCGAGAAGAATCCGGGTTCGATTCCGGACACACAGACACCGAGTCGCTCACTGCTGACGAGTGAGGAGCAGCGAATAGTGAAACCGGTGAACATGTTTATAGTTGTTTTTTTTTCACGAGCATGGTTATTCTGCAACCCCAATTGACCATTGTCCACCCATGGATAAGTGAGCGTTAATATTCTTTGGTTCTTTCGATAAAGTCACGATAGAAACATAAAAAATAAAGTGAATCATTTTTTTATATTTTTTATTATTCTTTTTCTATCTACGTGACTTTACCAAAAGAACCAAAGAATATGAATTCCTGCGGTCACGATAGTTTTAACTTTAAAATGCAATATGTATCCAAAGAAAAACACGTAGCTCCCCTATATAGATATAACAGACTGTTGGGGCAAGTGCTGTTAGCGAGGACCTTTGAAGGCGGGAATGGCACAAGAGAGGGTGGGTGGCCAGCATCACGCCTGACCGCCTTTGTCTCCCCAGTGACGATTTTTACAAATCGCAACAGGTACTCATTTGAAGCTGAGTCGCCCTAGAGGAGGCCCAGGACCGGTTCAGATAATCATCAATCGTGTTGGCCGTGAGCTGGAATAAAACTAGCGCTTCGCAGCGAACTATTACATCACCACTCCCCTACCTATACAGACAGATACTGATACATTGCACAGACATGAGAATGGACCATAGGCACACAATAAAGCAGATACATTTTAAGAAACACTGACACACCAGACAAACACACACCAGACAAACCAGATTCCCCATGGCTAATGTCAATTCCACTGTTAATTCCTTAACTCGGGCACATCGGGATGTCGTCATCTTCTTGCCGCAGTATGCACAGGGTGTATCGAACATTATCTCTGTTGCTGGGCCACAGTGTTGCAGTACAGACAATGAAACATCACGCGCAACACAATGCTGTTGACTACTGCTTCATGAAATTGTCAATACGCCAACTGCCTTTATCCATCATACAGCATCGATATTTAGCAAATGTCTGAGATTCATATAATTTACCTATAATGCATGATAGATAATATTAAGGTTGATGTCTGAATATGCATTATACTAAGAATTAGGCCAAATAAAGTAATTGATTTTGTCTGCGTAGTCGTTTCTCTCTCTCTCTGTCACCATTGCCTCTCTATTGCACGAGCCTTGGAATTAATGTTCACCTTGACTAACTTCATGGCAAGCCGATTTCCCAGGGTGCTGTAAAATAACCACAAAGAATGCTCATGTTTCACCTGCGTTAATGAACAGTGCTACTCCAATAGTCACACATTTTAGCAAAGCTGTGCGAATGAGATACACTTGCATTTAAACCATTTTAGTATTGGTGTAACACGTAGCAGGCGTTTGCGACCAATATCATAAATAATATAGGTTTTTGGGGTTAAATCGCGTAAATATATGTGCTGTTAAAACCCGCCACCACCCGACACAGCCAACTAGTAAGGGTTGTCACGTAAACAGAACGTGGCCAATTCGTCACTAGTACAGCACACCGGTGTGTTGGAGAGCCAAGCCACAACATTTACAATCTGAGTACGACGTTTCGCCAGTAATTACAACCAGCTTCATCAGGCGACAGCCAAATCTATTATGGACGTTTTGGTATTGTTGCATTTTTTTTGCGCCACAGCTTTGCCAATGAGTTTCAGCATTTCGGACACATTTTGCGCCGCTCTATTTAAAGAGCTAACTGAGTGCATTCTAATGATGCCACCTATTGTTACGGCTTTGAATGTGCAACAAAAAAACTGTGAAGGAGGAAGCTGCCTCGTGGAATAAAGACAAAGGTCTACAGACAGGGATACTTTATTCCAAACAACATGAAATTTAGAAAAATGGATGCTATTCAATCCGCCCCCATGAAAATCAATGAAGCCAGCGTTGGAGTATTTTCTGCCATCAAAATGTAACATCTGTGTGACTCAAAGAGACGGAGGCTGATTAGTTATGATTGCGCTTATTCTGTGAACACAAATTGTACTTTGTTGTTATCGTCTACATCAGAAAAGTATACGTTCAAACAATCCACAATTAGTGATACAACATTAACCTCCCTTCTTACCAAATACCAAGTATGTATACTGAACTTCTTTCGCACCGCACGTAGCCAACCGTGCTAATCGGAGGTGTGATTAGCACATATGTAAAGTATACATTATGCAAATATAAAAGGAGAGATGCGTGCTGGGAATTGCACGAAGAGACAGACGGAGAACACGTGGAGCAGAGAGTACATGCACATTCGGAACGACATTTTCATTGAATAAGTAATATTTATATAAAAAAAACTTTTAAAAACACGCTTTATGAAATGTACCGAACTCGTAATGGAAGAACTCGATGACTTCAGGAAGAGGGCCCAAAGCTTGCCATAATGTAAGGGACCGTGGTCATTTACAGGCAACGTCAGTTTACTGTGCACAATTAGAGCCAAGCCTAAACATAACATAAACAAATAATGTTTTAAAATATATGCTTTTAACTTTTTTATGATAGAATATTTTATTGTCATCAGTATGAGATAAGTATACCAAGTTTGCAGTCGATACCACATTGGGAAGTGAGTAAAAATTGAGTTGCAAGATTTGAGGATACAACAACGACAACAACAGACAGTGAGTTAATAAAAAGCGTGTACTAAAATAAAACCAAGCGGGCTTGGGCATGACGCATCGCAAGAAGTGAATGTGGCCGATGGTCGAGGCTGGCGATGGAATGGAAGCCCCAGGAAGGATCACTCCTTAGAGGTTCACCACCAAGGAGATGGAGGGATGAGATCAGCTCAAGATGAATCGTGGTACCATGGGAGATGGAAATGACTTGGGGAGGACTTCATCCAGCAGTGGATAGCTCATGGCGAATGGTAACTATTTACAATGTTTCATAATATACCTCGAAATGATAATGATATATTCACGTCACAAAGTTACATTCTTATGAAAGAATGTTACTGAATAATGACAGAATATTTATTTTAAGCAAAGATGTTTCATATAAAGCCATTGATAGTCATTAGGAAATTACAAAGCTCAATGGACACACAAGGAACACCCAATGTCTGAAAAGACAATATCGTCTTTTGGAGTTTATTTATTTATTTGCACATGGTTTGCTCACACCACTGAAGATTTTAAATGGGGCTCTCAGGAGCTGATGACGGCGCATTGATGTAGCGTGAAGGTCCAATCAGCCACCAAAATGCCACGAGAGATTTAAATTTGAAAACCATTTTGCGGTAATAAAATTTGTATATGTCACCGACAAAAGGTGCAGCCCTGCAAAGTCTGGCTCACGCCACCGTTGGCAGAATGGCCTCAACCATAGGGAGCTCTAGAGAGCCTCTTTCGAGAGATATTGTGGCCTAGTCTTCCACACTGGCCAGAAGACTTGGAAGTATCCACAATTGACCTCACCGCACGTGACCTGCCGATCAATTAACTGGCGTTTGCCCATTTACACTGCTGGGTGGACAGAGACTGAGAGACTGGGAGGTGGGCGATTTAATCAAACTGGTCACCTTCTGAATTCCAAGCCTGGTGTGCTAACCATTGCACCAGGGAAGTAAATGTGCATAAACATGGACAGGGGCACGACAGTGTGCAGAGTATTTCTCCATAGATCTTCCAACACCGGGCCACGTAACAGCTTGGAAGTGGATGGGAAGAGAGGTCACCGCCTCGGCACGGGGTTAGGCCGCTGATATACCACACGCCACGCTGGTCAGCGGCTATGAACCTACCCCCAATAAAGTGGCCGCCATCCCGCGGGGACCGGCCGCTACTATCAGCGGCGTCCAGATAACGAGATCTCGTCACTCTCCGGGGGCAGCGGAGGCTGCCTCATCGATCTCAGAATAAAACCGCTCGCCCCGATCGATTTGAGCGAGGAAGGGCGGACGGGACTGTCGCCACGCACCGCCGGTCCTGACCTGGGCACTCTGCATTGGTCTGTCTCGGCGGGGGGGGGGGAGCCGGCCACTGGTTAATGAGGGATTCTTTTTTTTATATCCCCATTCTTGTTCAGAGAGAGCGAGAGAGGGGGTGGGGGCGGAACTGTTGGAATGCCTTTGTGACCCAAGGGAGGAGGGAGCAGGCGCTGTGCTCGCAAGGATCATTCATCACTCGTGCAAATGTACGTTTGTATATATCTGTCGAGGAAGACTAAGGGATGAATGCACAACCACACGTGTGTTGATCACGGATCATGCACCGCTCCTTCGGATACACGTAAATAATGCGAAATTAAAATGTGTTGAATGTATGCATGCATGTGTGTGCATACATTCAACTGACAGCAGCCTCTAAGCTGCTGTCAGAGCCCTGTTGAAGCATATAAACAACGTGTTGTTTGGAATGAAGATATCACCATTCTTCCAAGACAACGTGTTGTATATATATACACACGTGCGCCTGCACATAAGACAGGCCAGCCAGATATATATCCGCAATCAAGAAATGTCACGTTTTATCCCTTCATGAAAGAAAGAACCATTATTAGAAAGCATAAATAAAATTTGAGAGTAAAGGTAGCTTGGGTTTAATATACGGGTCATGAATTTGATCCTATATAATCCTCAGCTTATATTAAAATGTCATTAAAAGACTCAACTGGCACAGTGTAGCCAAGCATAATTGATTAAAACACACACTTTTGTAGGTTATATGCATCAGGAATGTATTCTCTAAAAGGTCCCTTGTTTTGCTTGGCTGGAGAATTATAATCATCATCTGTTTCATCTAAACAGCGTTGGTGTGCACTTTCGCTGGTAATTTATTTTTGGGAGAAAATGCTCACCACGTTGCAAATGTCCTACAACGTAACCGCAAAGTAGTGCAAGTAACCTCGTGAACACAAAGGCAACCAAACAAAACACCGGAATAGCATGGGTCAGTGGTAAACACTGCAAATACAACTCAGCAAAGATCCCCGATATAGCCGAATACTGTTGGGGAAAGTGCTGTTAGCAAGCGCCTATGAAGGCTGGCATGGCACGGAATGATGTAGGTGGCCAACAGCATACTGGTCGCCTTTGTTTCCCTTGTGGTGATGTTTACACATCCCACCAGGTACTCACTTGAGGCTGTGTCGACCTAGGGGAGGCGCAGGACCGATTCAGATCATCATCCCTGGCGTTGGCTGTGAGCTACCGCACCCCACGAGATCACACGCACGTGCAGCCAAATACATGTTTTCTTGTG